TATGTAGTAGTCCATCTTTGTCAAGGTAGAACTGACCTTTGTCAAAGCTATTTCTACAGACGCTGACGAAAACTGTCGCTCTGCTGCTTTAGCCATGTTTTCCCGACTCAAGGGGTCGTTTTCCAGGGTCGCGATGTGTCGACTTAGGGCGTCTACATGCTGGATAGACTATCCTGGGCGGAAATCGAACTCCACTAATCTGAGAGACCATCTCATTAACCGGGAGTTGGTGTCTGAGAATTTCTTTAGATAAAGATCGATGGTCAGATCGGGCTACGAACTGACGACCACGCAGATGGCTTCGGAAGTGACGTGTGGCCCGCACTAGAGCTAAAAGTTCTAATTCACTAGAGCTCAATATCTGTTCGTGTTCGTTTAACTGTCCAGAAGCACAGGCCATGGGTCTTTCTTTCTAGCCTTTTCGCGTAGTTTTCAGGAGTAGAACTGAAAATCATCAAGTCATCTGTGTAGCAGATGACCTCCCAACACTTTGTCCATCAGGGACTGAAACATCGCATAAACCAAAACATAAGCGATTATATTCGTAATGCCCGAAGGGTGCGCCAAATACAGTCTTTTCTGTCCTGAACCAACTGAATGTGGTTCAAACCCCCCCAACCATTACCCTAAGATCCATTCAAATAAAATTGTCCCATCCATGAATAAGTCTTCAAGTGGTCTCTTCCTTTGAGTTCTTTCAACCAACATTTTATATGAATTTCTTGTCATCTCCATTAATGTTACATCCTCCTGATAATATTTTATGAAGTATAAATCCTAGTATGCAGTTTCATCCAGCCTTCAACCTTTCCTTTACACTTAGGTCCAAATATTATCGTAAGCAACCTTCGGTGTTCATCTGCTGTGTATATTATTCTTCACAGTCTGCCTTTGTGAGGGAGTGGGAACTCTTTTTTTGGTGCAACAGATTACATAAACATAAAAGTAGAGATATTTTGAAGAGCCCATTTCTTTCGAGGATTATGGGTGGGGGTTAGCGAATGTTTACTTAATTCACTAATCAAAATGCAATTTGTTAGATGCCTGAACATTTCACTAGAAAACACAAGAA